CTACTGGGCAGAATTTGCCAGAACTGGGTAAGTGGTTCACTTTATTTCTATCAATTTGTATTTTAAATCCAAAGAAAGCCCCCACACACACATTCAACAAATGCATTTTAAACCTAAAATAATGCAGCCATAAAGTAATGCACTCTACTCCTTTGCCTATGTTTACAGGTTGTGTTAATACATGTAGTTTAGAGATGGTATTCAGCAGGTTCTGACAAGTTCTGGAGAACTGGTAGCAGAAATTTTGAGTAGTTCGGAGAACTGGCAAATGCCACCTCTGACTGGAGATTTTACAGTATCCTTCCCCTGCCACGCCCACCAAGCCATGCCCACAGAACCAGTAGTAAAAAAAATTGAATCCCACCACTGATGTAGTTCATGATTTACGACCACAGTTGGGACTAGAATTTCTGTTGCTAAGCACGACGGTTGTTAAGCGAATGATGCCCAATTTTAAAATCTTTCTTACTGCAGTTATTAAGCATCACTGCAATTTTAAAATACAATATATGATTATGTGAATCCAGCTTCCTCCCTAACTTTGGCTTGTTAAAAATCAGCTGGAAAGGTTGCAAATGGTGATCATGTGATCCCGGGACATTGCAGCCATTGTAAATACATGCCAGTTGCCAACCAGCCAAATTTTGATCACGTGACCGTGAGGATGCTAGAATAGTTGTAAGTGCAAGGACCAGTTGTAAGTCACTTTTTTTCAGTGCCATTGTAACCTTGAATTGATGTTAAATGAATAGTTGTAAGTCAAGGACTACGAGTACTAGAAACAGCCCTGGAATTTTTAAGGATTCTTAATAATATCACTTACAGATAATTGTTCTTTTGTGAGTTCAGTGGTATCACACATATTCCAGGGTACATTATTTCTCCAAGTGGAATAAAGAAGGCAAAAGGAAGAAAGGAAACAGGGTGTTACTGTACCATTAAGAGAACAAGCAAAGGCTTGCAAGGGAATGAGTAGTAAAGGGGAAAATCACAAGATGGAGGGTGCCAGGGTGTGTGGAATGGGGGAATGGATTGGGACTGGCAGATCCAAGAGTCTACGGGGAGCTGACCTGGGTTTGGATCAGCAAGGAGGAGACATAAGAGATTTCACCAAGCCAAACTCCACCCCTCCTTCAAAGTCCCCAAGTTTGGTTGTAGTTTCTCAAGTCAAAACCAGTCTCTTTGGAAAAGAGCTCCATCAGAATAACAGAATTGGAAGGGACTTTGGAGGTCTTCTAGTCTACTCCTCTGCTCAAGCAGGAGACCCTATTCCATTCTGGACAAGTGGTTGCCCAATCTCTTCTTAAAAACCTCCAGCAATGACACGCATAACTTCTGAAGGCAAGCTGTTCCATTGATCAATCGTTCTCACTGTCAGGAAATTTATCCTTATTTCTAGGTTGGCTCTCTCCTTGATTAGTTTCCATCCATGTCCTTTTCTTCCTCCTTAGGAATCCCACTGGGTTAGCAGCCACCAAGGATGAGTGGCTACTCTATAATGCCACAGAGCGCAATTTCTTCCTTCTTAATACTGAGCCATTCCAGGAAAGGGTGAAAGAGCACTGCGGTTTTTTAAAGAGCCTTTTTTCAAAGGATGAAGAGCCACGTAAGTTCATCTATTAGTTCTGCCTTTGGAAGGGAGTAATGGTTGATGAAAAAGCTGTTTTTAAAAATCATTTATATATCAAATATAGAGATCGCCCATCTCATTCATAGCGCAATTTCTAAAAATTGATTTTATTGCCTGTGTTTGCTGAAACATACGCATTTGATTTTGCACTGGGCAATTTTGTAATGCTAGCGATACATTTTGTAGAGCAAGCATATTTCATGACGTCCCAAGAGTTGGGTCTGTAGTAAGACTTAGTTGCTCACATAAAGATAACAACAACAACAATGAATCCCAAAACACCTGGATCACCCCTTGACCACCATTGGCATTGACAAAATCCCTCTCAGTCAATTGCAAAAGGCAGCTTTACTTGGAATAGCTTACATCCTGCAGTAATAACTTTAACACCCTCAAAACATATCTGTCCATCTAGCTTTTTGTGAAAGAATGGGTAGGTGGACAAAAAAAGTCAAATCCAGTCTAAACATCTGGCTGACTGTGATGAACAATAATGTTTTGATATATATTTCATAAATATATATTATGCCATGAATCATGGAATCCTCAGAATCCTACTTCTAGATTCAGATTCTTCAGTGATAAGATGTACACCTTATCTTGATATTTCATTTTTCTTTGTTCTGCAGACAAGTCCGAAGGTGATTCTGTTTCATCAGACTAGGAAGAAGACAGGAGGTAAGAATCCAGTGCTTGGTTGTAGTAATGGCTGTCAATTGGGATCAAGTTGGATGATTCCAGAAGGGGGCTAGACTTGTTTCTAAATAGCAATTTCACATCGGCATTCCAAA